AATCTGCCAATACCCTGCTCGAAGGTCAAGAGTTGTGAAGCAGGTCGCTGTCCCGAAGTCCTTAAGTGTTTCGCTGATTTTCGGTAGTACGGTGGGCTCTTCCACGGTGAGTGCGTTTAACGACCGATAATCGATACAGAACCTGGGCTTTTTCCCCTCACGCTCAACAATGACGGGTGGCGAACAGTACTCCGACGTACAGGGCTTGATTACCCCGAGTGACAACATTTCTTGGACTTGAGTGGCGATTAATTTCTTCTTTTCCGGTGTTGTAGGGTACGGGCGTTCATGTATGGTTCTGTGCTCGCGTAGGACGATTTTATGGCGTATCGTCGCGGTTGTGCACTGGGTTGGTTGCTCGGTGAAAAGGTACTTGAATTCGTTCAAGGTTTGGGCGACCCGCTCAAAGCATTCGGCCGGTATTTGATTTGGTGCAAGTATAAGTTCGGAGCCGTCGGTGAGGGCCTTGAATGTGTCGTGCTTCCAGTACTTCGTATCGCGCGTGGTGATCCCGACGTGGATACACTTCATATAGAAATCGAGCGCAGCGCGTTCCTGTGTCAAAAATGGTACGCCTAATATCAGCGGTTCGTTCAGGTCCGGTAGTAGATGGAAATGAATGGAGTCGGTGACTCGTCCTATCGTGGCGACAAGGTTAGCATCTCCGTCGGAATAAATCATCACGGTGCCGCTAGCGAGCGAGAATGCATTCCGGCTGTTATTTCGGGTGACGTCCCCGATGATACTAGTTCGGATGAGATTGCACGCGGATCCGGAGTCCACGAGTGCTTGGTAACTTTGGCCGTTGACGAGTACTGGAATGCGTGATAAGGAGTGGTGGTCATTCACCAAGTACGCTACTGGTTGTGGTGTGGAACAAGTTTCTATGAACGCGTGTTTCCCCCCCGTATATGGTACAAGAGCGAGTTCCGTGGCGTCCGTTTGGGTGTTGGAGTCTTGGGTGCGCGGCGGCAACGTGTGTACGACTGTATCAGTCTGAGTGCTAGATTGGCTAGTGCGCGAACCTGGTGGCTCAGTTTGCGTAGACGCGTCCTTGAATGTTGCGTTGGGCGATACCGTCTGCGTGTGTAGGCTGGGGGTTTTCTTGGAAAAGAACATCGACATTATAAACTGGTAGGTCTAATTCGAGTTTGGACGGTTGAATCGGTGGCGTGGGGTTTGACGTTTGATTGAGACAGCGATTTGCTAGTCTCAATCCCAAACCTAGTTTTTTGGAGGTGCTGAACGCTGAGGATCCCCTGTTTCAGCTGATGCCGGAGGGGCTGATGGAATTTCGACTGACCGTTTATATGGGTTCCGGGGGCAATCAGGATGGAAATGCATTTCCCCGCAAAACCTACAAGCGGTGCGTGGCTTTGGCTGGTAAGAAGCCCGCGGTTCGCGGCGCGTGGTAAAATCGGGTCGTGATGAACCGTGACTTGTTTCCTCCTTCACTACCGTGTGATCTGATGGTGAAGGGGTCGATGCGTTACTTGTGGGCACTTGCGTCTGTTGGTATGGGCGATTGGGTTCGCGGAGTTGTTTGCGCAGTTGTTTCATCTCATCGACGAGATCTCGTTCGATCTCAATAACCGTGGTTTGAAACGCGTCTAATGTGGCCTCGCTGGGTCCGCGGAGTCGTGATTTTAGTGCAGGCTGAAGTCGGGTTAGGATAAATCTGATTTGGGCGCGCTCTGTCATGGTAGAATCCATTCGCGCGAATAGATTTCTTTTTCGTGATATGAACGTGGCAGCGGGTTCGTTTTCTTTCTGAAATTCACCGAACACGGCGGCGCTGATAGCGTCTAAGATATCCTGGGAATTAAATTGTGCGAGAAATCGTGTCTCAAAATCGCTATACGACTCTCGGAGATATTTGCGCGAATCGTGCCAGCGGCGTGCATCGCCTCGGAGCAGTCCTTCGGCGATAGACAAACGTTCGTCGTCGTCGTCGACGTGTGCTTGCGGAAAATAATTTCCTAGCTGGTCCAGAAAACGTTCTGGATCTTCGTAATCTATGCCGGAAAACGTACAAGATGGGGGGCGAATGTGCCTGGCGTTATTATTTCGGGTAAATTTATCGGTAATGTCAAGGGCGCGGGTGAATTGACTGGTAATCTGGGCAGCAAAGTCAAGCATGGCGTTCTCGGACGCGGTGCCTGTAGTCTGCAATGTGGCTTGCGTGATATTAGTGGCTTCGAATGTCTCGGCCTGTGGAACGGTATACGAGTGGAATTTTGTGTCGGTAGAGTTTGGGTGCGAATGTCGGTATATTCAGAACTACCGCTATGACTAGAGGTGGCGTCTATGACTTCATAACTCTCGTCTCCAAGGTGAATGGACGTTACGAGCCGACTTGGTGATTGATCCATTGTGGGCAAAAAAATTTTTTATGAAGGAGACCTAGTGATAAGGCCTGGGCGACGTCGAAGGTGAAACTCGAAAGATCTCGGCGTCCCGAAGCTGTGCGGACCGAAAAATCCTTTGCTTACTTATGTATGTGCTTCACTACTTTAGTTGGTTCTGGAAATCTGAAAGCCCTGAAATTCAGTTTCTCAAATTTTGAGCGAATTCCCAAATGTTCTAGTCGTGGCTTTGGACTTCGTTTTTCCGTTAATTATGGGTCGAAAATTTTTCTGTTTGTGGTTTTGCGTACCTTGAGTGAAGGCAATTTTTTTGACGTGTACAGAAAAATTTCGATTTTTGGAAATTTTTTGGACTTTCGTTTTTTTGCGTTCTGGGGTCGTAGGTTCGACTTTAGTTTCACTTAACTTAAAGAATTTTTGGTTCATTCGAGCCCCACGTTCCGGGTGCCATGTCAATTTTATCGTTCTCGGGTGCTGGTAAAAATATATTTTAGGGGAATTCAGGGCGTCAGAGAGGCTTGGAAACAGTGTTATTAGATTTCTGGATTCTTTGGTGGATATAATTAAACGTCAGGCGCAATCCGCGGTCGCGGAAATGTATTGGATGCCTCGTCACTGACTCCTAGCTTCCCTGTATATTTTTACAGCGTAGGAGCATGAGTTATTGGAATACTAAATAGAAAATGTAGGTAAACGGTGAAGAATTTGATATGACGCAGAGAAGTCCGGCTATAATTGGGGAGTCTTATAATTACTTGCTGTAATTAATGATACTCAGATTTTGTACTTTATTCATATCGGTTTTGTTTCGGGTACGGCGGCGGCAGACTGAAAAAGAAGCATAAAACTTGGACAGACAGCGGCAGACCCTGGCTTCAGCTGACCTGCAGAGAGAAAAGAGGGCAAACTAACTGGCCACTTACCTTTTGTAGACTCTGGAGACGGCGTACATGGACCTGGGGGACGGCAAGCTGGAGGTGGTGGACTGGTTTGCTTCCGGCGATCTAACTGGCGAAGATGCGGCACGGCACAACGCTTTTAGGATATTAATTCTTATAGGAACTGTTTAATGAAGCACTGGAGAGTATTTTTAGTATAGGAAATTTCCCAACACACTTCGTAGCCTGATCGATGGTTTTTTGGTAGCACCAAGAGCTCGACACACTTAACTGCGCGACGAGAGGGTGGCTTAGCTGATATTCGGTGTTTTTTAGCCGACCGGAGACTTGAAAGTTACTTGCTTTAGAGAAGCTGCACGTAGGCCTTAATGTGAGGAAATATGGAGTTTTTCGTATGCAAATGAAACACTTTGTTTTGTGATAGAAGCGAGGGATGATTGTTGGTTGAGTAGCGAGGGTTTTGGAGTGCGTTGCGCGTATCTAGCTAACGCGCTAAGATGGCGGCCTGTGTGGAATGGAATGGGGACGTTGCGGTTTTTGCGACACACGTCCGCTTTCATGACCTACTCAGTACGTACTGCCTGCGTTGCAGCACTCGCTTCGCCGCTGGGCCTGTGGGAGGCCGAGGCTCCATCTATCCATGATCTTCGGCGTTAGGTGTGCCGATTGGTTCGCTGACCGACTTTAAATATGGATCCTGCCTAATTTGCGGATTATTATTTTGGCACTCTCGGAGCGTCTTATAATGACACCCCCCTTTTCTGAGTGTGGCGCTCTTGGTGATTTGATATACTTTATGGGTTGGAGATTGGCTCTTTGCTAGTGTGGTGGGAGATTGACCTTGCNTGACCGCCGTTTGCAATTTTGCGAAATAATGAGTGAGCGAGCAGGGAAGGATCCACAGTTCCTTCCACTAATTTTACGTTTATTGTGTGTGTATAGCATTCATTTCTGTTTTTACAATTGTGTTTTTTTACAAAAGTGATAACAAATCGCCAAAGACTTACTAAAGAATTACTAAATTTATACCATTGACGTACTTAACTCGAATGACTGACATTTTTACCGTTATTAATTGTTTGTAGGTACATAAGTTTCAACTTTAAAATCAAAATTCTTAATAAGTATTGGGCGGAATTATAAAATTTAAAGTCTGTTGTAAAGAGAATTGTAAGAGCTTTCAAAAGAAATATTACTCAACCCCCAATGCCGTTTAAATATTTTGGGGTGATGCTTACCCTTGCTTGGGAGTGAAAGTGGCGGAGTCAAAAATACCAGCAAAGAATGTCCCCCTTTAATCTAAAATCGACGGGTTTGAGCGTTTTTCTACAATCTTGACGCAGTTGTTGAAAATGGTTCTGTTTCGTTTCCATTTGGCTACCCTGTATAGTAAACACAAAAGTACATTATCAACTTAAAGAATAACACAAATAATAAGTTGTCGCAATCTAAGCAAAATATTATAAAAACCATTATATTCTCAGATCAATAATACGTATCTTTATTGCCGTTTTAAAATTGGCCACAATGGAGCAGGATGTAATATTTACAGGCAGAGAATTATACACTTTCACAGCAGCTGAAAGAATGTTGAAACATCGTAGTGTAGTGCCTGGGCATAACAAATTTATTACAGCGACGAGTAATTATGTGATGAATATTTCGAACTTTCTAGTTTATTCTTTAGTTGGTTTAATATAACTATAAATATATTTTCAAATATTAATTATTTCAGAACACGTTTCTCATGTAACCGCTATGGAGACATGTGGTGTCCAAGAAGAATGTGATTTTTGTAACGAAACTAACGTGCCTAATGAATGTTCTGCTGTATCTGAAGCTGGCGAAAATTTAGCAGATTCCATTCAAAACATATGCCCTCCTGGAATGCATTCCTGGCATGATGATATGTGTATGATTTGTTCTGTATGTCGAGAATGTACTGGATATTCTGTTAATTGTTTATCTTCAATCAGTTCAGAGAGAAATCCCGGACAGTAAGTATATTTTATAAAATTTCGTGTATTCAGACCCTGTCCTCAACCATTATGCTAATAAAAAGATTAATTATTATTTTAAAATATTCCAGTTAAGTATGAATGATGAGTAGGCGGATACCTATCTATTTCTGTGTTCATAGTTTACTAGAGCAAACTTTATTCAATTAAAAAGTAATTACTATATTTGTTATATGTTTATAATAAATCTAGAAGACATATTGATAGGGTGATTCAGAACTTATCCAAATTGAATTTATGGAATGTACCAATACAATTTTGTAAAAAAACAAAAAGGGCAATTTCGACAACGCATGTGGTGTTTACATGATGAGGCACCTCCTCACTTTCGGTTAGATGTTCGAGATTATCTCCATCATGTGCATGGAGTACGGGGTGGGTCGGTAGAATGGCTTCCGCGATTTCCCGCTTGAAACTCTTGACTTCTTTTTTTGGGTCCATTTGAAAAATGAGGTGTAACCACAGACCACCTAGACTGGCTTATAGAGCGACTTTGGTGAAAACACTTTGGAGCCTGATTTGGAGCTCAGCGTTCAGTCGTGTCCTAGCATTTGACGTGTACGCATCGCTGTGATTTCGATAATTAGACGTTTTATCATGGGCAAGTGTATTGTATAAATAGAAGTGATCGAGTTGGTGAAGAGAGGCGAAAAGTTTCCTTCTTTAGGTAAGTAAAAAAAAGGAATATATAAAAGGTAAATATATACGCCATTTTTCGGTTAACGTCACAAGTTTCCAGGGTTAGCTTTATAATTTTGTTCGCCCACATAGTGTAGTGATTAACGTGATATTGTTATTATAAAATAATGAATGAATTACTGTAAAATATTTTTAGTAATTATTTACTTTATG